CATTTGGTGTTGCCTCTTAAATGTCATTTCTTGGGGGAATGCTGACAACATCAGGCAGATTGTTTCCAGACTTCCAGAAGGCAGAAGTGTCACAGGACTGACACATCCAGCATTGTCATGGGCACACTGGAACAGCACTGCCAAATGACATCTTGAAAAATCTTAAAAACTGTCTTGGCCTAGTCCCTATTGCTGAATCACTGCCACTGGTGTTGGTGTGAAGCAAAGGAAAGGTGCATTTGTGCCACCACTGTTTCACCCATCTATTCAGCAACTGGGATGTGACCCACTGCAGGTAATGGTGATTATCACAGGGGCTCTACTCACTTACTAGTGATAGTTTTTGTATCTTTCACATTAAGCTTTTGGAAAGTCTTCCCTTCTCTTCAAAATTTTTGTCAAATTGTTTATGAGGCATTTTCCTACAGTGCTTTGGGTTGCTTTGTTGAAAAACAATGTTATTGCCCAAGAAAATTTCATCAGGGAAGGCAGAACTGTTTACTCTCCATTACAACAGAAATTCCTAGGCATTCTTGGCACACACTTGAATTATGAAAGTGTCTCATGAGTAATTTGCCACTATTGGCAAAGATGCAAGGTACTTCTCCTGCCATATATGACAATGCACACTATTTCCTTTTCCAATCACAAACAGAATTGTCCAGTAAACACATTCATGAAGAGTTATTACAGTGTACCTTATGTAGTCTCAGCTTAAGGAAACAGCTAGAACTGTATGACCACCAGCTGGCCTCAGTTAACTGAGGACATACTACATATGACTTTTTAGGAACAGATCTAGTTTAAGCAGTGCTTCTGGAAGCCTTCCACCTTGGCCCTGGTGACAGGTGACTGTTTGATCACGCTCCAAACCAGATCTGAGAAATTATCTAATTAAAACCCTAGTACCTAATACCAGCCACAAGTTCCAGCGTTGAAGGTAGGCACAAGACAGCATATTAGGTGATGTGAGAAAGGTACAGCTGGAATGAGAGCAGCCACTGAAGACATCATGATCTGAAACCATGCTTTGAACAACACCAAACCTCTCTTCTTTAGTATGTTATATGTACCCAAATTACTTCATCTTATACAAGGACTTCTTGTTCTATGACAACATGCTAGAAGGCCAGGTAAAAAGTGAACTCCTCTCTATGTTCAACATTCTCCTAGTTAAAAGCTTTAAACAAATGCAAACCCTGTTTTTAAAAGAAGCATCAAAATTAACTATTTGTCACTGAGCTCCTTGGTTATACCCTTCTGTGAAAATATACCAGGGATTAGAAGTATTGCACAGCATAAGGCAGCTCCATGCCCCAGGAGGCCACAATAAGAAAGAAATATTGGACTCTGATGTTCTGCTTCTGAGTGCCTTCGCTTGCTGAAAGAGCAGTTTAGAGGAAAAATGTTCTTGATGTTCTCCATTAATAACCCGAACTTAAACCTACTCAGTTCCTTAACAGCCCTAAATGGCCTGCTGTTATTAGTTTATTCAGGAATACCTTTTCTGCTTGTTTATGTGGGTTTGTGTGCCCATGTATCTGGTATTTTAATGAAAGAAGCCTGTGAAAAATTTTGTACAGCACCATCTACAAGAATATCCAAGATCTTTTACCCTTTCTGAAACATCCTCTTTCACAAAGAATGTCTCAAGCATACAGAGGAAATGAAATCAATTACTTCAGGTGAACTAAGTTCTCATATTTAAATTATGTCACATATTTCACTGTTGCCAAATGGTGTGTACATAACTCTTTTGAACTCAGACTGTGTATAATCTAAGTACTGAGAAAAACCGAAACAAAATGACCAATAAACTGACTCATCAATTCATGTGAAATTAAATTCTGAACACTCAGGAAAATTAAAGAGGCTGGATTTTAATACAATTTTCTTTAACATATTTTGAAGCTTCTTCCCTTGTGCCTGTGATGGACTTCCTGTTCCCATTCACCTGCTTGCCTTTCTTTCTAGTATCTCAGAAAATACAGTTTAATTTCCTCTGCAGCAATCCATGTCTCTTATTTTTCTTATGTCATCAACACACTAAAATACTTGAGAAGCAGGTAATGAAAATTATTTCCTTTCACAGAAACATTAGGGAACCAGTATTTTGAAAAAACTCTTCAAACTCAAATTTGGCTTTGGATTTAAATTCCTATACAGGGAGGGGGGAAACCCCACCTTTTTTTGAAAGGTTAGCTCAAAGAGTATCCTACTACATCGCTGAGACACGGTTTCAAAAGACAAATATCCCCCTTTAGACATTCCTTTTAGAGCTTTCTCTACTTCCATTTCACTGAGAACTAAAACAAGCTGTTGAATGTAATTTCCTTCAATGTCTCAGAAAACAAAGTGGACAGGACATCAGGGAATAACCTTGTCAATCACCATATTATAAACCACAAAAAAGTCCTGGTGGGATTTTTTTTCTTACTTTTTTTTTTCCTCAAGTCTCTAATAAGTGCGACATTCAGTGTTTCTTGTTTAAGGAATTGCTTCTAATAGGTGCTATGGCACTAGAAGTTTTTCCTCAGTTTCCAGGAGGAACGTGAAGCAAGCAAGATTCCGGTTCAGATGGTGAGGTTTTTGATGGCACTGCACAGCATTAATTAAGTTCCTCTCAGGCTGATTACACCTGTAAGTTAATGACCTGCCATTATCACACTGGGAGAACTCATCAGTACAGCTCACATCCTTTGATATGTGCATATCTTTACTAAGCTTTAACAGTCTCATTTGACTTCTAACAGAGGCAAAAATCATACACCGTTATGTACTTGCATGATTGGCTTTGAAAGTATGAAATATTGAATTATTAAAATGGCACATTTTTTAAAGCATGCTCAAATTGCCAAATGTGCCAAACACCCACTTAAGTATTAAAAAAAATCCACTTCTCACTAAAGTTTTATAATACTTGCAACTCAAAAGTAAATCCTGACTCATATTTTATCTTTCAAATACTTCATAGTAGTCCCTAAACTCCAACCCTGAAGACATCTCCATCTGACCAGCATATCAGTAATCCTATCATAGTCACACACACGGTGTGTGTGCAAGTATGTCAGTGAACATTATTCTGAAAAGAGTCCAGAGCTGTTCTAGATCCACCTGCCTTCCATCCACCCCAGTCTCACCATCAGGCTACAGAAAGACAATCTGGATGTGCCCAGCAGCACATTAACCCATCTAAGCCACCAGCCTGTTGCCAACGCACTGACCCTCACGCACTGAGTCCTGTATCCTTCAGAGAGTTTTCTGAGGCTGCACCTGGGGGCCACGCTTGCAAATTAGTTCTCTGGAAGGACAGCAAATCCGCCTTGAAAGCAGCCTCAGGGCATCCCTCAAAATTGAATCTAAAAAGAACTAACATGACTTCTTGCAGCAGTAACAGTAACCTCATGAGAATACACTGTTTGACCGTGGCCTGTATGAAATGCTCCTCCTCAGCTAAAACTTTTAGATTTTGCTTTCTCACCAAAGCAATCCCGAGACCTGAGTTTAAATTCCTAGTAACACGTTATTGGGGGAGGGAAGAAATAAATATGGAAAAATAGCTATAGTCCTGATAATACATTTTCATTAGCTACCTTTTGCAGGGAAACTTCTCCCCAAGGTGATTGAAGATTTTGGGAGTTTAATGTCCCAAATGAAAATACTTCCTCCACCTTCTAAATATTTAACCTTCATGACAACATTTATTTACATAATATACTTAATTAGACAAATGTCCTTGGATTTATTATCTTGGATTCAAGGATGTCTGTAGCTTTTCAGTAGCTATCACGCATTTTAAAGCAGAATAAATTTCATGGTACATATCAGCTGAGCTGGACTAAGCTGACTACTTATTAATGCGCTCACACATAGTTTAAAGGTACAAGAGATAGATTATTAGCTGTATGGATCTAATATGTTCATAACTAATGTCTGAAAAAAGTTCTTTAGAAGTTATTACCATTACTGATACTCCATCCCTGGAAGTGTTCAAGGCCAGGCTGGATGGAAAGTGTCCCAGGCCATGACAGGGGAGCTGGAACTGGGTGATCTTTAAGGTCCTTCCAAACCATTTTAAGATTCTGTTTGGGATCACCTTTGTGTCTAATTAGGTTTGTACTAGGCAAATATATTGTTTTGAGAATACTCGCATCATATTCAACTCAAAAATAGATATAAGCAAAGCCACGCAAGATGTTCCCTGGTTTCATGCAACTCTAAATCTTGTATTTTTTACATAACTTGTGTTCTTTTTTTCCCCCCTATTTTACTCACGCTCCACTCTAAAATATTTTTTATAATACAATTCCAGGCGCTTTGCAGGGAACGCAACCCGCCCATCCAAAACATCCCCTGCAGTAAAACTTTGGCAGACTCCTGAGGTTCATTAGCGATTTTCCCCGGAAAAGCAGCACGCCCGGAGACACCCACCCATCCCTTCACAGGCAGAACATCCTTGCAAGCCCGGACCGCACCCGGGTCCCCGGGTCCGGCTTCCCAAGGCTCCTCCCCGGGCACCCCCGGGCAGGCGGCCCCGGCCCCCCTCCCTCCCCCGCCCCCTCGGGATCCAGTGTCGCTTATCGTGAAGGGTCAGCTATTTATATTTATAGCTCAGGGCTTTTTCTTTCCGAGTGGCATTTGGAGGCGCAGCCGGGGAGGGTCGGAGGGGGGGTGTGGGGGACACACGGCTGCCCACCGGGACACGCTCGCGCCCCGCCGCTGGCTGCGGGAGGGGGAGCGGGGAACCGGGAGCGGGGAGGGAGGAGACCAGCGGGAGCGAGGAGCAGCAGAAGAGCGAAGAGCGGCGGGCAGGCGGAGGGAAACAAGGCTGGAGGGAGGAAAGGGGGGAGCAGCAGAAGGCAGAGGGGACCCGCACGAGGAGGGCGAGGAGGGCGCCGGGCCCGGGGGGAGCTGGGGGAAAGCGGGAGCCGCGGGGAGCACGGAACGCAGGGCGGGGAAGCGCCCAGGGAGCGGTTGATAAGAGCCGGCCCGGCACCCACCTGGCACCGGCACACAATGTCCGACTCGGTGGCCAGCAGGTCGACCACCTTGCCCTTGCCTTCGTCCCCCCACTGCGCCCCCAGCACCACGGTCACTTTGTTACCGCCCGGCTCGCTGCGCGCCCGCTTCAGCCCGCCGCCGGCGGCGGGGTGGCTGCTGCGGTCGTTGGACGCCCGGGTGCCCGACATGCTGTGTGGGAGGGTGGCTGTGGCTGCAGCCGCCGCCTCACGCTGCTTTCGCTCCCCGCCGCCGCCGAGCCCTGCGCGCTGCCCGCGCCGCCGCCGCCCGCCTTTAAGGGCGCCGCCGCCGCCGCCCGCCCCGCTCCGCGCTGACGTGCGGGGCCGCTGCCCCCCGGGCTCGGCCTCGGCCGCCCGCCCGCGCTCGCACGCACGGTCCCTTCACACACACACGGTCCCCTCACACATGTGTATGGTCCATTCACACATGCACGGTCCCCTCATACAGACGTACAGTCTCCTCGTACGCACACACACGATCCCCTCGCACACGCGCGGTCTCCTCACGCTGCACACACAGCACCACTCGCGCATGGTCCCGTCACAGACACAGGCACAGCACGTCTCACATGCAAGGTCCCCTCACACACACGCGCGGTCCCCTCACAAACGCACAGCACTGCTCACACACAGTCTCCTCACACACACACAATCCCCTCACACACGCACACACAGTCCCCTCACACACATGCAGTCCCCTCACACACACACACACACACACACGCACACACAGTCCCCTCACACACATGCAGTCCCCTCACACACACACACACACACACAGAGTCCCCTCACACACGCAGACACACGAACCCCCAGATGTGGAGGCTGTGGCACCGTGGGGTGTGCACAGCCCTGGGGTTCGCATGTGACAGGGGCACCTCAGAGGGACATGAGCCCATGACACCCTCAGGCAGACATGTGAGTCTGAGGCAGGTGGGCCTCTGGCACAGACGGACAGACTGACAGACTGACAGACAGACAGACGTGGAGCTGGGTCATGCAGGGCTGCATCACTGCAAGGCACGCTTACCCACGGGTCTGAGGCGTGCGGCTGTGTCACTCTGTCAGGGGCTGGGGCACACGGCTGTGTGACAGAGCCATGGCACACGGGTCCAAGGCATGTGGCTGTCACATCAGTCTGAGGCCTGTGGGGCTGTGTCATGAGGATGTACAGACACATGCTGCACTGAGGTGCGTGACTGTCACTGTCACTGAGGTGTGACAGTGTGTCACTGTGAGGGCACATACAGTGTTCTCAGGCACATGAGCCAGTGTCACTGACAGACAGACAGACACTGGCCTGAGGAACATGGGCTACTATCACTGCAAGACAGAGGTTGCTCTGAGGCATTTGGGACTGTTGCTGTTAGACATACAGAGAATTTAGCTCCCAGAGAATCCTGGCACATACACTCAGAGTATCCTGTGATATGCAACAGTCAGAGGGAGAGGGACAAGCAGACAAGCTGCTCTGGCACACAGGGATCATGAGACACAAACATCCACCCGCTGGCCCGACAAACACAGGCAAGGCGGACTTGGAGTTTGACTGACGCACACCTTAGCCTAAAATACATATGACTGTTGTTACTGAACTGGCATTACCCTGTTGACAGGCACATACATAGTCTGTCCCATGGCCTATTTTGGCAAGGCACACATGCACACCCACACATGCACTCACACACTGACCTGAAAAAACACAGGACAACCAGTACGAGACAGATAAACAAATGAGGCATGTGGAGCTGTGTCACAGGGACCCACTTCTGTGGTGTGACAGGCGAACAGACCATGCCTGTCACCCATAACTCCTTCTCCATGCACGAGCCATAGGTTACACTTGGCTTTCTCTGCAACATGCATTCTGTAGCTCCAGGCATGTGGTACCATGCCCTTAAAAGAAGCAAGTTGAAATGTGTAAGGTTAACAGACTAGTGTGAGGCACATTCACCTGTGTTAGTGTGAGGTGCGTATGTGCACGTACATACCAGCGCACACACACACACACACGTGCACGGAAGCTAAACAGGAGAACATACCAGGTCACAGCTTCAGGCAGGGGGAACCGTACCAGCTGCTGCTTCCACGCTCCTCCTGGCAATTGCATGTGTGTGATCCCTACCAAGAGAGTAAGGGACAGAAATTCAGCATTTTCCGGTGACACACTCCTTCTCTTACACTCTGGCTCAGATGAGACGCTGTGATATATATGAGATCACACAGACACGTGGCTTGTGCAGTGTTCAAAATGCGGAAGGGTGGTTCCACAATTCATTACTCTAGTATAAGGAAGAAAAAGATAGTACTGGACTACCCTAATGAACTCCTGAGAAATAAAAAAACCCAGCCCATTTCAGTCATGCATATGTGTGCCCTGTATGTGCGCTTGAAAACATCTACCCGTGCCTGTACACATACATGTGTGAATTTATGTGTGTGCATGTATAGAAATAGCATAGGACATAATCCAGACTCCAGGACCTTGTAGGGGTTCATGGTGGCAAACAGCAAATACTTGCTTTACATAATTTCTAGCATTTGCAGTATTTCCTCTAAGAAAAGGAAGTAGAAAAGATTTAACACTCTGTATGCTCTGGCTGAGTATTTAGCATTGATTAGTGGAGGTGATAAATATGGAAGAGAAGACTGGAAGGGAACTTCTGATGTTTGAGCCTAGTTTCCTTGGCTTCTGCAGCCAACAAAATCATACAACACAATGCTGTTCTTAATGAATAAGTTTCAGAGCTGTTAGAAACCTCTGCTAATTTCCAGACTTCTGGCCAATTTATATCTATATGTTCTGTGCTGATGTTGTCATTTCGTTTAAGTATTTCTTGCTTTTCCTTTCCCGTGTGTTTATTTATAGAGGGAATTACATCCAGTCTCTGGCTTTGTTTTGCTCTGCAGAAAAAGACAAGATTTTTCACTCATCTCTAAAGACAGACTCTCAAATTGCTGATCATTCTCACCTGCCTGCCCTGCACCTGTTCTGAATTTGGTTCATTTTTCTTGCATATGGGCAGCTAAAATAGTACACGCCAAGTATCCTAGTACCTTCTACGTGGAGATCAATGTCTTCTCCTTTCAGATGGAGATATCTCACCTAAAACATTCCTGGACTTGCCAAGTTTCACATACATGATGAAAGTCAGCTCCTTTTCCACACTTCACTGCACTGCTGGTATCTCACACACTGAAATACCACTGCTGCTTTCTGCCATTGGCACTTCACATGCACAATTCAGCTACTTGGCATTTGATGTATATATTCACAGCCAGATGCCACGTGCAATCTAACATGGACTGAAAGACAAGCCTCCAGTTTGGGTTTCAGAATTTTCCATTATAGAATTTTAATCTTTATTTTTATTTTTGACCATTTCTTCAGTTGTAAGGACGTGTGGTGGGTTGACCTTGGCTGAAGCCAGTTGCTCACTGAGACACTCCTTCACTCCTCTCCTCAGCAGAACAGGGGCAGAGAAAATAAGATGGGGAAAAAACTCATGGATCAAGATAAGGGCAGTTTACTAAAGCAAAAGCAAAGGTTGTTTGCATGTAAGCAAAGGAAAGAACCCAAAAGATTTAATTCTCTACTTTCCATCAGCAAGCAATATTGGACTATTTTGTGGGAAGCAGGGCTTCAGTATGTGTAGTGGTTGCCCTGGAAGACAAATGTAATAAATAATGAATGCCTTCCTTCCTTCTCCTTTGTCTTAGCTTTGGCTGAGTGGAGCCTTTGATCAGTTTGGGTCGGGTATCCTGGTTATGACCCCTCCCAAGATCTTGCCCACTCCCAGGCCTACTGGTGGAAGGGGGAACGTTGGAGAGACAACCTTGATGCTGTGCAAGCACTGCTCAGCAATAGCCAAAACACTGGTGTGTTATCAACAACCTTCTAGCTACCAAAGCAAATTACAGCCCTAGGAGGGCGGGCATAGGGAAAATTAATTCCATCTCAGCCAGACCCAATACAGGATGGAACAATTCTGTGGATTATTTTAAGGTGTTTGATTCTTGTTGTCTATTATGCATAGAAATAGAGCAGCCACAGCTGCTCAGGCACAGGCTTTGCTCTTTGGGCTTCTTGCCCTGGTACCAGCCAGTCTAGAGCTGCCCAATGTCAGACCTCTAGAGCTTGAACTTGTTCTGTCTCACATAGGAACTCCCAGAGCTGTCCATGTTTCTCTTCCCAGCCATGCACTGACAGCTTTTGGACCTCATCTGAAAAATTTCTGCTCTGGTCTGTCATCTCCTCGAACATATGCAGCCAGGCTGGTCCTGCTGTGCAACAGAAATTATTGTTAATGACTTCTCTTTGCTTGATACCTTTAGCCTCTCTTGTAATTGTTCTCACCCCATACTCTGCACCACACTGTGTGCCTTAATGAAGTCCGTGTCTACTGCATTTGGTCTATCTTGATAGTTGTCAAAGGGCACCAGTGCCAGAGTGATCTGTTTTTACTTTTGCTTTTCCCTTCTGTACTCTATCCCAGTTTCATTCACTTCCAGGCTTTCATTTTATTTCAAATTTTCCTCTAAAGCTTCTCTCACTCTTCTGTCACGTTTCAGATTTTTTTGCTGCTTAGTAACAAAATAATTTTGTCCATAAAATAATAAAAGCTGCACCATCTCATTGTGGAATAAATATTTGTCAGGCATTATGTTTATGGTTGTTTTCACAATTTGAAAACAGTAGCCCCAAGGACAGCAAAATGTAGCAGTGGTGTCACTTAGTTCCCTTATTAGTTCTCCTCTAGTTCTCCTCAAAACTGATGACTTGTGAGTCAGCCCCACACAACTAGAATATAAAAACCTTCTTTGCTTCAAGAAATACATACTCCTGGTGCTGCCTCTCTGCAAAAGAAGCTGTTTACAGCTACATTTGAAGTCAGGACACCAGAGTTTTATTTATTATTATATTTATGGCATTTAGTATTACCATTCCCGCATATTTGTTTTTTTTTTCTGTCTTTATGATACTCTACACCTATTAGTATAGGAACTCAAATATTTTTCCAGAGTGATGTTATTGCTGTTCCTGCATTTGTTTGGGTTTTGGTTATGCTCTTGTTTTTTTAAAAGCAAATCATCCTGGCATGACCACTTATAAATTGTCCTGCTTAAGGACAGACTCCAGTCTTTTTGACTGGACATGACAGTTTTCAGCTATTTGGTCTTTCTGGCTCTCAGCCACAAGAATACATTCATAACTTTCATATATCTTCAAAGTGACTGGCTTGATGGAA